AGAAGAGGAAGAAGAGGAAGAGGAAGAAGAAGAAGAAGAAGAAGAAGAAGAAGAAGAAGAAGAAGAAGAAGAAGAAGAAGAAGAAGAAGAAGAAGAGGAGGAGGAGGAGGAGGAAAGAAGAAGAAGAAAGATGAAGATGAAGAAGAAGGATGGCGAAGAAGAAGAAGAAAGAAGAAGGAGGAGGAGGAGGAGGAAGATGGCAAATCTCCTCCTGTGCTTTTTACTGACTCCAAAAACCTGCTGCAGGGTCAACTATCAGTGAGTTCAGACTCAATAGTTCAAAGCAGCAACAACAACAACAACTACAACATGATCCCAAGACATGGCTGAAGGTGTTCTCTTTATAGGTAAGGACGCAGAAGCAGAGAACAGCTAGGGAAGCTGCCTCGAGACCACAGATCTAGTCAAGGGACAGGGGCTGCTGTTGTTAGGCACCATCTAGTGACTTCCGACTCACAATAACCCTATGTGTGATGGACCAAAACCCTGTCCTGTCCCCCACCACCCACTCTTACAATCTCTGCTGTACTTAGGCCCTTTGCTGCAGTCAGTGTCTTGCTTTTGCAGTGTCTTCTGGGGCCTCATTCTGACTTTATCAGACAAGGCTCCATTACTGTTTGTGGGGGTTTCATGGGTTCTTTACCTCAGCCAATAGCCAGTCCTACTTCTTAGTCTGTGCCTCTACCACTGGGGTGAGACTGTATTTCGTTTTGGTTTTGAGTTTCTCTTACTGCCAGTGACTCTTAGCATTTCTTCATGTCTGTTGGTCACCTGAATGTCTTCCTTTGTGAAAGCTCTTTCCATGTTTTTTGCCCATTTTGTAATTGGATTATCAGTCTTTCCCTTGTGGCGGCCCTGTAGAATTCTACACATTTTCATTATGAGACTCTTGTCTATTTTTTTTTTCCAGACAGTAGGTTTTCTTTTCACCCTGTTGAAAAAGATTTTGATGCACACAGGGATTTAATCTATGGGATGGACTGATTCAGTGACTGGTATGATGGGAATAGGTGTGTCAGAGACAATAAGATTGTCATAGGATAGAACAGGGCTTAGGGCTGTTGTGCATAGGGTCGCAATGAGTTGCATGCGACTCAACGGCATAAAACAACAACAAAGGCCTTCCAAGCTTGGACCTATTTGGTCTCTTATGATCTTTATGGTTTTCACCTTTACCCCTAGGTCTCTGATCCATTTGGAGTTAATTTTTGTGTATGGTGTGAGATGTGGATCCTACTTCAGCTTTCTGCAGGTAGATGTCCAGTTTTGCCAGAACCATTTGTTGAAGACATTGTAGTTTTTAATAGATTTTGTTTCCTTGTCAAACACTAGCTGACTGCAGGGAGATAGGTTAATTTCTAGGGTCTCGAATCTGTCTTCTGTTCTATTGATCTGTCACTGTACCAGTACCATGTACCAATGCTCTTTTGATTATTACAGCTGTGAAGGAGATTTTGAAATCATGCCTCCAACTTCATTTTTGCTTTTCATAAGTACTCTGCTTATTCGGGGTCTCTTTTCTTTCCAAATAAACTTATCGATTGCCTTTTCAATCTCTTTGAAAAGTTTGGTATCTATATTAGGATTGCATTAAACATGTAGATTGCTTTTGATAGGATTGTTATTTTCACTATGTTGAGTCTTCCTATCCATGAACAGGGAGTATTTTTCCATTTAATTAGTTCTCTTATTAATCGTTGCAGTCATGTTTATAGTTTTCCATACAAAAGTTTTTTGTGTCTCTAGTTATGTTTACTTCCAAGTATCTCAATTTGTGGTGGCTATTGTAAATGTTATTGCTTTCTTAGATTCCTTTTCCATGTTTTCTTTGTTACTGTAGAGGAATCCCACTGATTTTTTTTATGTAATGGCAGCTAAAAAGAACAATGAACAATGGAGCTGGAATTTGACCCAGAGACTTGTTGGTGTTGTTAGGTGCCACTGAGTCAAGTATGACTCACAGTGGCCCTATGAACAACATATCTGAACCTTGTCCTATCTTGTGCCAACATCATAATCTCTAACACACACACAAGCCCATTGTCTAGGTCAAGCCCTTTGCCTTGGTCACTGTGTCAATCCACTAGGCCAAGGGTCCTCCTCTTCTTCACCATCTCTCCACCATTCCAAGCATAACTCCCTTCTCCAAGAAATAGCCTTTCCTAGCAACATGCCAGAAGTATGTGAGATGAAGCTTCACCATCCTTGCCACCAAGAACACTCTGGCTTCACTTTCTCCAAGACATATTTGTTTGTTCTTTTGATAATCCATGAGATATTCAGTACTCTCCTCCAACACCACAACCCAGAGGCATCAATTTTTTTTTCTTCTATCATCCTTATTCATTGTCGAGCTCTCAGATGCATAGCAAGTCACTGAAAAGACCATCTGAGTCAGGCACACTAGTTCTCAAATTGACATCAATGTTCTTCAATAATTTGGAGAGGTCCCTAACTGCAAACTTTCCCAGTACAATACATCTTCTAATCTCTTGACTACTGGTACCAAGGGTGCTGATTATGGATCCAAGTAAATTGAAGTTGTGGACAGTTTGAATTTTTTTCTCTATCTTCCATTATGTCACCTATGGGTCCAGTGGTAAGAATCTTTGTTTTCCTCACATTGAGATACAATTCATAGTGAAGGCTGCAGTGTTTGATCTTCTGCAGCAAGTGTTCCAAGAGCCTCAGATTTGGATATTTTACACCTCTAGACACACTGGCTGTTGGTTCATAGGGTCGCTATGAGTCGTCTACGACTCGATGGCATTAAACAACAACAACAACAGACACACTGGAGGGAACTCTGGTGGCCTAGTGGCAAGAAGCTGAGCTGCAATTCTGAAAGCATGAGGTTCGAGGCCACCAGCTGCTCCCAGGCAGAAGGCTGGGCAATCTCCTCCTGTGCGATTAACTGCCTCTGAAAACCCACTGGAGGGTCAGCTCTGGGTCGGTTCCAACTTTATGGTACACAACAACAACAAGAAGACACACTAGTGATATGGGTATTAAATTATTTAGGCATTATCCTTTCTATACATGATTTCTCAGTGCAGAACTTTAAGTGAATACCTTCCTCTTTTTATTAGTTCAGCTTCTAAAAATCCAGCAAGCCTGTAAGATCATCTCTCTCAGGAGGTTGTCGTCACTCATCAAATCCCTGTATGAAACGACTCTGTTGACCCTTACGTTCCTTCCACTTCTTTCTGAACTCTCTAGTTCCCACCTACAAAAAGCTTCCCGAGAATGTGCAGCCCCGATTCCTGGAAGACGAAGGCCTCTACACCGGGGAGAGACCACAGGTGCCCCGCACCAACCAGAACATCGCCGAGAACAGACTGCTCACCCAAGATCCCGTACGTGGACCTGCTCCCCACGGCAACACAGGCATATTTTCCATAAACACTGGCCCTGCCACTGTCTTCTGTTTTCTCCTTCAGAGTCTAGGCCCAAAGCAGTTCCTTTTTCTAAACTCTATTAGTCAAATTAGGCAGCTCTGGCGGCCTAGAGGTAAAAAGCTGTGCTCCAGTCCTAAAGGCCAGTGGTTCAGATCCACTAACTGCTCTATGTGAGAAGGACGGGCAGTCTCCTCCCATGCAATTTACTGCCTGTGAAAACACACTGGAGGGTCAGATGTTTATATTCTATTCATCCTCCAACAACATGACTTCTCTGGCTTAAAACCACTTTGCTGGTTTTTGCTGGTCAACAAGCCCTGGTAGGACTGTGGTTAAGCATTCATCAGCTATCCAAATGGTGGGCAGTTTGACCCCACGAGCTGCTCTGAAACAGAGAAAGGGTTCATTTGGCCTCTGTAAAGACACACGGCCTTGGAAACCGCATGCAGCAGTCTGCCCTGCCCCAAGGGGCTGCTCTGTGTGTTTCCCATAAACATTTGTGGTGGTGCCTCTCCTACTAAGTCAGACGTGAGCAACATTTTCTGAGTTTCCAGAAACACAGCGTTCTTAAGTTCAATGTTCTCTATCTCACATGTTTCTCTTCTGATTTCTTTTTCTTTATTCTGCCATGAAAAGACATTTCATTTTCCTTGAGTACTCATTTTCTCCAGCTTTTTCAGAGCATGGCAAGACTCCATCTAACGCTAACAATGAGGGATACTAGTGAAGTCTCACTTTTTAATGAAAATAGAGTTGTTGAAAGTTCTCACAGGGCCCGGGGAAGGGGAGAGGAGGTACCTAAAAGGTGGATGACATAGAATTTGTCTACGCTGTTTATTTTATAAGCCAATTTCCCTACAGTTAGAAGAAAACACTGCCTTTCCCTCTTCCCTCGTGATTCCCAGGGCAGAAGCTGGTTTGGGGATGACGGCAGGATCCTGGCACTGCCCAATCCCGTCAAGGCCTTTCCTGCGAGACCGCCAGCACTGAAGCAGGAGCAGGACATGAAGGAAGACCTGGAAATATTCTACAAAAAGGTAATCCTAATCCACCAGATGCTCTGCTGGAGAAGGAGGGGCAGTCTCCTCCTGTGCCTGTCAGATCTGATTCGACAGCACACAACAAGTTTTAAAAAACAGGTAATCCTGTGCCTCTCTTGAATGCATGAATTAGATGAAAGCACTTTGCCTTTTCAGGAACTTGAGGCCCTGAATCCACAGTATTCCACTTTCGTCTCTTTTGATTGGTTTTAATTTACTCTCTTGTACCATCTTACACATAAGGAGCCCTCCAGGTGCAGTGTGTAACACATCAGGCTGGTAAATGCATGGTCAGCAGTTCAAATCCATCTGCTGTGTCAAGGAAGAAAGATGGGCAGTCTCCTCCCATGAGGAGTTCCTGCCTTAGAAACTCAAATGAGTGTCCCTATGTGTATGAACCAACAGCAGGAAGGTTTAGGTGGGTTTGTCTCACATGAAAAGAACAACAGTGATAGGAGCAAGTCTGCTTTTGATCCACCAATCCCTCTTACACAAAGACGAAGTTTTCCCAGGTTGTTTGTTGTTATTATGTGCCGCCAAGTCGCCTGCGACTCATAGCGACCCTATGTACAACAGCCCTAAACTCTGCCCTATCCTGTGCCAATCGGACTGTCTCTGACACATCTACCCCCATTACTCCAGTCACTGAATCAATCCACCTCATCGAGGGTCTTCCTCTCCTGCGCCGTCCCTCCACCCTCCTAAGCATGACATCCCTTTCCAAGGACTGGTCCCTCCTCGCAACATGTCCATAGTATGTCAAACGGAGCTTCAGAATTCTTGTCTCCAAGGAGCAGCCTGGTCTCACCTTCTCCACGATGAACTTGTTTGTTCTCCTAGCAGTGCATGGTACATTCAATACTCTTCTCCATCACCTCAGCTCAAAGACTAGAACCAGGTACAAATGGTTAAATCCAGGTTTTCATCTGCTTTTGCAGATTAAACCCAAGCAATCCAACTGCCCTTGAGTCCACTCAGCCTGATTCATGTGTCTGAGAGCAGAACTGTGCGCTACAGTCTCCTCACAGGCTGGGTTTTGGGAATTAGATCACCAGGCCTTTCTCGGTGGTGCTTCTGTCGCGACTAAATGCCGCTGAGTCGGTTCCACTTCTGAGTCTCAGTAAGAACAGCAGAACAGAGCCAAGCCTAATCCTGAGACACCCTCGTTCTCTGCTGTGCCTGTGGCTGCAGCCACTGTGCCCTGTCCTTCCCTTTGGGGTTCTTCCTCTTTTCCAAGGACCCTGCCCTCTTCCAAGCATGATGTCCTTCTGCAGGAGCTGGGCCTTAGGATGACATGTCCAAAGTATGGAAGACTAAGTCTCATCAAACGTCTAGCCATTCCACATGCACCCAAGTACTCAGTTATCTGTGCTACCCAGGGTGCCAGCCTGCTGCCTTTACTGGTCCCCTTCCGTCCTCTTTTCTCTCTGACATCTTGCATTTGCTGTAAGATCCTCTGCTACTCACTGTGGTGTTTTTGTTTTGTTTTTGTTTTGTCATAGGACTAAAGACTCTATTAAAGACTCACCACATTTTCCTGTCTTTTTTCCCCTGCCTCTTCCTAAGCTTTGCTACCAAAGTATCTCATTGGGATCCTGCCTCTACCACTCACTGATGAACAGAGGCAAGGCCCTCAATCTCTGTGGCTCCACTTCCTCATCTGTAAAATGGGCACAGGTTGTCAGGGACCTCGCCAGTGTACTGTAGAGAAACGATGTCAGTCTTGAGGCTAAGGTGTGCTTGATCCAGGCCATGGTCTTCACAACTGTTTGATATGCGTCAGAGAGTTAGACAGTGACTAGGGATGATTGAAAGAGAATTGATGCCTTTGAGCTGTGGTGCTGAAGAAGAGTGTTGACTATACCGTGGACTCCTAGGAGAACAAACAAGTTCATTCTAGAGAGGAAGAAGCCAGGCTGGTGCTCTTTGGAGGCAAGGATTCTGCGACTTCAGCTGACATACTTTGGGCATGTTGCAAGGAGACACCAGTCCTTATAGAGTGATGTCATGCTTGGAAGGGTGGAGGGACAGAGAAAGAGAGGGAGACTATCGATGAGACGGGTCAATGCAGTGACTGGGGTAATGAGGGTAGGTGTGTCAGAGACAGTAAAGCTGGTAGTGGATAGGTAGCAGGTTTCAGGGCTGTTGTACATAGGGTCACTATGAGTCACAGGTGACTCGATGGCACATAACAACAATAGTATCCACCCCCAGGGTTACTGTGACGATAGGACAAGATTAACATATATGCATCCATGGAATAAAAGCTCAGTATATGCCAGCTCTGGTGGGACGGAGGAAGCTGCCCTCATTTAATGATGTTGCGTTTCAAAGTGTGGGTACCTTCTGAGTTCACCAGGCAAGGTTTAAATCCCACTGCTGTTTTATCAGATCCAACTAACAGCTGCCCTGCGAGGCAGCAGAGAGCGGCCCCGTTGGGCTTCCTGGCACAGAAATCTCCATGGAAGCAGACAGCCACGTCCTTTTCATGCAGAGTCGCTGGTCAATCCAAACTAGCAACCTTTGACGCAGCAGCTGAGGGAGTAACCACAGCATCACCAGCGCGCCTTGAGTGAGGCTGACCTCCTTCCAAACACCCATGTCATCTCAAGTTTCAGGCATTTTAACACTGAAGTCAAACCCTTATTAGCAAGAGGCAGGAGAGCGGAGAAAGTGGTTTGTAAAAGTAAATATTCTGTCTTCCCAAAACCCATCTGTTGTTATCAGGACTGACGCACAGCTGACCCTCCAGTGGGTCTTCAGAGGTGGTAAATGACCTGGGAGGACACTGGTCCTCTCCCCCCCACGGAGGAGCTGAACAGCTGGAGTTGAACCCTGTACCTCTAAGCTCGAAGCACTGAACTATCAGAGCTCCCTCAAACCTATTTAGAAACCACAAGACAAATACAAAAAAGAAATCACCACACCTGTTGTTATTGTTGTTGTTCTGTACTGTAGAGCTGGAACTGACCCACAGCTGACCCGCCTGAGGGTTTTCAGAGGGAGTTAATCACATGGGAGGAGATGGCCCATCTTTCTTTCACTGAGCAGCTGGTGGTCTTGAACCGCGTGCCTTTGGTATTGCAGCGCAGCTTCTTGCAGAGCTCCCCACCACACCTAACAAAAATCAAATTCACGTTATATGGTTTGTCAAAGCACACAACTCCCTCACTCACTACGTGCATTATATGTATACGTGTCATTCACTCACACATTATAGGAAAATACTCCAGATGTTGTTGTTATGTGCTGTGCCATCAGACCACCTACAACTCATAGCTACCCTGTGGACAACAGCTCTGAAGTCTGCCCTATCCTGAGGCAGTCTCACTGACTCCGACACACATACCCCCATTATCCCAGTTTCTGTGTCAGTCGATATCACCTGAGGTCTTTCTCTCTTACGCTGTCCCTCCAACTTTCCAAGCATGCAGTCCCTTTCTAAGAACTGGTCCCTCCTGGAAACATGTCCAAAGTATATGGGAGCTAGTGCATCAAAATCGTTGCCTCCAAGGGGCAGCTTGGTTTCACCCTCTCCAGGACAGTTCTGTCTGTTCTCTTGGCAGTCCATGGTATGTTCGATACTCTTTTCCAGCGCCACAACTCAAAGGCATTCATTCTTCTTCTATCACCCTTAGTCATGGTTCAACTCTGATACATAGCAAGTAATTACAAAGACCATGGCTTGGCTCAGGAACACCTGAGTCTCTAGAGTGACATCATTGCGTTTTACTGCTTTGGAGAGGCCCTCTGACAGTACACTTCCCCAGTGCAATTTGTCTTTTGATTTTCTGACTGCTAGTGCCAAGGGTATTGACTGTGGAACCAAGCAAGCTGTAATTGTTAACAGCCTCAGTTTCTTCTCCATCTATCATGGTGTTGCCAATTGGACCAGTGGTGAGAATCTGTCTTCCTGATGTTGAGCTTCAGTCTATATTGAAGACTACAGTCCTTGACCTCCTGTACCAAACACTTCAGGCCCTCCTCAGCTTCAGCAAGCAAGATTATATCGTCTGTATATTGCATGTTGTTGCTAAGTCTTCCTCCAATCTTGACGCTACATTCCACTTCATAAAAACCTGTCTTCCAAAGGATCTGTTCCGCATACAGCAGACTTTCCTATAGCAACTCATCATCCTGTTTGGATGTAATCCTGCAAACAGGATTATGTCTACTTATAAAGGAGTTAGAATCTCAACACAGTTCTTTGGAGGGAACACAATTTTATCTTACACAATGGGCAATTAGAAAGTATCCCATATACAAAAAGAACAATAGCTGAAGAATCTACTGAGGGTTCTGGTCTATATATAGGACGTGAAGTCATTTTCTTGAGGAGAGTGTAGAAACTTGCATTTCAATCCAACCAGTGATTCAAGTTTCTCTATCGTTTTCTCCTGGCATGATCTGTGTACACACTGCTCATCACCCAGCGACCCATGTGACCGCCTCTCACTGTCTGGTTGCCAGTTCTTCTCTAAAGGAAAAAAAAATCAATTTCAAAAGAAAAATAATGTACTCCATGCACACTACTGTCTTTCAAGAAAAACACTGCTGCTTTTGTTTTCATCATCATTCTTGGTCTGTAAGACAAAGAGACACAATACAAAGAAGGCAAGGAGTTCAGAGCCTCTTTTCCCTAATGGGAAGAGAGTTGGGGTCTTTTAACGGATCTATCAAAAGGTTAAGGGGGCCTAGTGGTAAGAAATTGCACTGCAATTCAAAAGCACCATGTTCAAATCCACCAGCTGCTCCACGGGAGAAAGATGGGCAATCTCCTCCTGTGTGATTTACTCTCTCTGAAAACCCACTGAAGAATCAGCTGTGGGTCGGTTCTGACTCAACAGTATAGAACCACAACATCAAAAGTTTAGATCATGCCTGGAAAAAGATATCCTACGTGGGAGAAAAGAGGGTAATGAAGGTGAGACAGTCCCTCAAGAGCATGGCCTGGTGACAGTGACCACAGAGATGGGATTGAGTACAATGGGACTGTG